TTTATGTTATGGGTGCGGTTTGTATGGAGCCTAGGTTCTAAACAATCAAATTAAAGCCTACCTTCAAATAGTGTCGAGAAATATGGTTTCAAAACTAGAAGTCTTTTTGATAGCCTTAAAATATATTTTCATCGTTATTTATAAAGTTTAAAGCTTTAAAAATAGTGTAGATCGATAGATCTATGAAAACATGAAAATCTTGAAAATTGATGGTCCAAAAGTGCGTTACAAAATATACTATTTCCAAAACTTAAATTCATTTTTTTCTCATGTCCATTCATCTTGATGTCGAGATGATAAATTTGAAGATATTTGGGCATCAAGATAATCTCTTCTAGTGAAATTTTTGAGGTAGGCTCGAATTTGATTGTTCAGAGCCTGGGCTCTATATAAACTTTTCCCTTATGTTATAAGGGAAGCATAGAAAGCTTGCTTCTTCTTTTTTTACCCTCTCTCTTTTTACATTTAAAACTAACATTTCCCCTCTCTCACAACGCTATTTCTCTGTCTCCCTCTCAAGGTGGTCTTTTTTGTAAAGAGTCTCAGGTGTCTTTGAAGAGACTCGATATGAATGTACAGACTTGTCTTTTATAGACAAACTACAAATGATAATAATGTAAACTAAATCATAGATACCTAAACCATATCTAATCTTATAATAAAGTACAGATACTCTATCAACCCTTCCCATAAATATTGATTGTAAGATATATTATATTAACCTGATCCACAATATACACTTTCCGTTCACACTCCCCTCAAAATCAAGATGCGAGAGAGAATAGCTTCCCATAAATACTGATTGCAATATATACTTTCTATATTAACCTGATACACAATATACACTTTCCGTTCACACTCCGCCTCAAATTCAAGATGCGAGAGAGAGTAGCTGGAGTTTGAGTACTAATTGTAGAAACGAGCAGTTGGATCTTTAGGTACATACTCAGATTGCTTGATCAATAAGCATGGAAAGTAGCGGTGAATCAACAAGCCTCAAGAACATATGGCTTCATGAACTCTTGGAAAATATCAAATAGATCAGAGAGTCGAAATCGGCATAAAGACATATCAGATAGTCGAATCATGACTTGGCAGATATATAAATTAGAGCGTCGAAACACGAATCGGCAGAGAGGACATATCAGAGAGTCGAAATACGACTCAGCAAAGATGACAGATCAGAGAGTTGAAATACAACTCAGCAAAGATGACAGATCAGAGAGTCGAAATATGACTGAGCAAACATGACTCGTCAGAAGTTGCACTGGCTAGTTGAGCAACAAACTCGTCTTGAAAATTGGCGACAGTGTTTCAGGGACGAGGAATAGACACAACTAAGATGAATCGGGCTCTGATACCATGTGAAGAGTCTCAGGTTTCTCTGAAGAGACTTGGTGTCCATTATTCATATGAACGTACAGACTTGTCTTTGATTGACAAATTACAAATGACAATAATAGAAACTAAATCATAGATACCTAAACCATATCTAATCTTATAATAACCTACAGATACTCTATCAACCTTTCTCATAAATATTGATTGCAATATATACTTTTTATATTAACACGATGTATAATATATATTTTCCTTTCACATTATTCTCCCCCTTCTCTCTCAACTTGAGCTCTATCTCTTTCTACATTCAATATTCTACTTATTGCTCTCTCTCACTCCTCTCCCTCTCCCTCTCCTCTCATTCTATTGTTTGTTTTCTTTAGTTTCTTGGGTTTATTTCTCATTTTCTTATTTTTTACTGGTTTTCTTTCAGGTTTTGTTATATTGGTTCAGAAACTAAGTTTTTTTTTTGAGGTAATGGTTCCCCGTCGTGTTTTAATCGTAACCTATATCAATTTAGAGATTATTTGGTTTTTTGTTTTTGACTCAGGTTTTGTTATATTGGTTCAAAGACTAAGTTTCTTATTGGAGGTAATGGTCCCTGTCATGCTTTATAGTTTCATTATATTAGTTCAGTTATGGTTTAGTTATATTAGTTTAGTTTCGTTAAATTTTGTGTTTAAAAGTGCTATGCAATATTGGTTATCTTTTGTTATTGAATGTAATTTTTTTTATTTGAATTTATGTGGAAATTTGTTTTGACTAGCTTTATTAGGTTGTGATTCTGTTACAACATATGCATGGTGTTTTCTTCAATGGATTGACCTGTGGAACATGTATGGATGGGTTTTAGTTTGCATAGTTTCGTTATATTTTTTCTTTTGTTTTTTAAATTTTGTGTTTGCATTATATAGTTTTGTCATGCTTTAATCTAATTTTGGACTTCTTTGAGGTAATGGTTCCCTGTCATGCTTTATGATTTTGTTATATTATATTGGTTCAGTTTTGTTAAATTTTGTGTTTTTATTCAATAATTTCATCATGCTTTGCCTAATTTTAAATTTCCAATATGCAAAGTCATTAGATAGAAGTGCTTCTCTAAATGTGTTGTTATTGTTTTTTTGGTTTTAGAGAAATTTTATGAGTTGGAGAGAGAGAGACAAAGAGAGAAAGAGTATTTAGTGAAACTTTCATAGTCCAGAACCCATAAAGTGAGTATTTAGAGCACGCAAAAGAAAAAGTCTATCTATCAGAGTCTATCTTAAAAAAGTAGATATTACAAGAGACAGAGACAACTAGGGGAGTTGCTTCTAATTTATATTTCTATTTACTCTACATCATTTATTCTTTCTATATTAAGCTAGGCGGACACATGACGTTCAATTAAGTGGGTGGTTAGCATAGTTTACCCTCTAATAAAGTTTAATGCATATTTCTTCTTGTAATATTTTTATCTTTATTGACAAAAGAAATATTTAATATGAAATCCTTCTCCTATTCAAAGGATTAAGTTTTTGAAAAACCAAATCCTAGAATACAAATATTTAAGATTTTATTTTGGAAAAATATATGTGTATTTTATAGCAAAACAGATACTGCACATGACTCTTCCAAGTATATATAAGATTAGATGATAACTTCTACCTCATCTCAATTATAATTTCTACTTTATCTCAATGAGCTATAATACATATAGGAAGCATCTACGCAATGCCTGCGGACAAAAATGAATAGTGTTTTCACCCATAGGCTCATAACCATCTAAAAAAATCGGGTGGCGTGCATTTTTTGACTGCCACGGATCTCGAGTGTTTTCGCCCATAGGCTCATCGTCATCTAAAAAAATCAAGCTGCGTGCATTTTTCAACTGCCACGAATCTAGCATGTTCGTGACGGTACCGTCATAGACATGCTAGATCTGTTACCATCACAGATATGCTAGATCCGTGACAGTCAAAAAACCATGCAAAACCGCAATGGACTGTGTGCCATCTGTTGCAGGTCCATTTAATAAACCGCCACGGACATAACAAGTCCGATGGCGAAACATTGTAGTATTCCTCCTATAGGTTTTTTCATATATATATAGAAAGTTTACATTAGGCGGCAACCAACCCTACTTGCATAGAGAAGATGCAGTAATCTATATTGTTCATTTTAAGTGGATAGTATGAATTTGACATTGTCTTAAAAGACACGTCAAATTTTGAAACAAGATGTACCAAATTTACACCACTATAAATAAAGTTGCAACCTACTATAAACCTCACCATTTATTATATCAAAAATGTCTTGCTAGATAGAGATGGATAACATATTCTTTTTACAATACTGTTAGATTCACTTTGCTTGTGCCTCCAAACCTGGTTGTTACAATGTTGTTAGATTCACTTCACTTAAGCTCCTAATAGCACTCTTTGTTACAATGTTGTTAGATTCGGTTTGTGTAATTGTGTGCGCCTCCAAACCTAAGCATTAAACTGTTGTTGGATTCAATCTACTTCAGCCTCTTAAGTTGCCACCGCACACAAAATTGTCCTTCTTGTAAACCTATTTCCCACACATTTTGATCTAAATTTTTTTATGTTTTATATTTTAAAAATACCCAAAAAATATTTCCACCACTTCTCTTCTCTTCTCGTACCAAAACTGAGAGGGCCCAAGAATCAAGTTTGGGCTGAAGTAGTTAGTAGCTAACGTTAAGCAGTGCTATATCTCAAAGTTGTATTTTGAATTGCATTTGTGCATTCTAACTATGAAGCTGAATGCCACCTCCCATATAACCACGATTATATTATGGAAATGCATAGGATAAGATCACTTGATATTTATTTTTTTTATTTTTATTTTTGGATAATTCAATAGTGATAACGAATCCTTATCCGTTTTCTAAATCATTAGTGGTTTTTTAAGGCGTTAAATAACAATAGAAGCCTAGACTTTAGCTGGGGCACAAATAGTACTACCACCACAACCCCAACCTCACTCTCAAGACCACTTAATTTTAATACTAGAAAGTCACAATCATTGTTGAACGTTGGATGTGAAATCCAACGGTTGGGGATGTCTTACTTATTAGATACAAAGTCTAAAATGAAATTTTTTGAATGGTGTCAAACATTTTATTATGTTAGATTTCACATCCAATGGCTAAGAATAATGATGACATTTTTGTACTAAAAGTAAAGGGTGAGGATGGGTCGTAAACAATCAAAGTAAAGTGCAACTTCAAATAATGCCGAAATATATTGTTTTGGTATCAGAAAGATTTACAATGGCCTTAAAATTTATTTTCATTTAAAATTTAAAGATTAAAAAATAGTGTCGATTATGCAGATCGATAAACACATGGAAATCTTGAAAATTGGTTGTCTAAGTAATATATTACAAAATGCATTGTTTCTTCTCATGTCCGTACATCTATTTCTTCTCATATCCGTACATCTAGAGGTCGAGATGATCAAATCGAGGGCTTTTGAGCATTGAAATGGCCTCTTCTAGTGAATTTATAAGGTGCGCCTTAATTTGATTGTTTAGAGCCTCACCCTTATATAAACTTTTTCCAAAAATTGAATGGTCTTATAAAATGCAATCACCTAAACTACCCCTCCCAAAGAACCCCTAAAGTTTTAAGCACCCAAGCCAGTATCCGATGCAAATGCAAATTAACTATACGCTCCTCTCATAAATAAAAATTAAATTTACCCAAGCATAGACAAAGTCCCCAAGGACAGTCCTGTAAAATTCTAGACAAAAGACCCAGAGGAATGGATTTAGATGTAAGAGAAGCCAAAAAGAGTTAAAGACTTTCACTTGATTTTAGTTAACTGTGACCTTCCCAACCATGCCTGCACCTTGGTGTGGAGCACAGTAGAAGCTGTATGTTCCCTTGGTGTCCAAAGTCACAGAGTAAGTCTCTCCAGGTGCATTAAGCAAATCCTCCTCGGGCATGGAGATCTTCGAAACATCGACACCAGCAGGCACCTCGTCCTCGTCGAAAACAACGTTGTGGGGGAACCCAGCATTGTTCTTGAAAACAATCTTTTCGCCAGCAGGGACATCAAAGTTGCTGGGGACGAAATTGAGGGAGCCATCGTTGCTTCCCAGCAGCACATCAAAGGCCATCGCGTTGCTTCCGAGCATCACACTGGCAGAGGCAGCCACGGCAGCAACACCAACACCCTTCAGCGAGGCCTTTGCGCAAAGGCAGGCATTGGGGGTCACCTTTGATTGAGAGACAGGCCTCGAGGCCTCGACTGAGGCGCCGGCCTTGAGGCCTGTGAAGGAGGGGATGGTTGCGGTGGCGGCGACAGTGGTGGCCATAGCTTCTATGATTCTCTCTCTCTCTCTCTCTCTCTCTCTTTGCTCTATCTTCCCCTAACTCTTGGCATAGTAATGGTGGTGAGGGTGCTAAATAAGAATGGAGCTATGGGATGAGAGTGATGGCCTGTGAATTGGTGGCTCAGACAGGGGTTATCTCCTGTGCTATCACGTTATTGGTTGCTTTGGAGGATTTGATGCCACGTGGACCAATTGGGTGCTTTTCTATTAGATATCATTGCCAAGCCCTACATTACAGTATAGGAAGATTTTTTTTGCTTTTACATATTCTTTTGAACTTTGTTTTAGCCTTAATTATAGCAATCTATATATATATATATATATATATATATATGATGATCTTTCTATAAGGCTTAGGCTTTATGAAAATAAAATAAAATAAAACTTTACTTAAAATTCTCTTCTTCTTGAAAGCACTTTGGACAACATAAATCTATATGATGGCTCTAAAATCAATTTTTAATACGAAACAATGAAATTTGAAATTCAAAAAATAAATAGGTCTTGCCCATCCATGAACACTTAATTTTAGAAAGAAATGGACGGTCTAGATAATGTGTTACAATATACACTATTTTTATTACTTAAAATCCTTTTTTTTTTTTCACAACCATAACGTTCATGCCGAGATGATCGATATAAAGGTTTTCCAATATTTGAATTGCAAATTTCTATGAGTTATGAAGTGAGACTCTACTTATTTTGATAGGGCTGCAACCCTATCAAAACATTTTCCATATATGAGGACCAATAGGATAGCATTGGAGGGGATTGATGGGTGGAGAACTTGCCACGATGATTAGGAGATTGTGTTCTTTTATTCTGAGCCAAGGAAACAATTTTGCGATGCTATGCACAAAAATTTGATGAATTTAGGGACCACTGATTGGACTAGTGTTAGTGGCCAAAATCAAAGGCTATTAATATTCAAGAGATTATACAAAACTTTAGGGTAAATTTTTGGTGCACCGTGGATTTCTTAGGGTTAGTTACAAAGATGTTACTAGATCGGGAGAAACATTGGAAGATGTTGAGGCTCATTGAAAGTACCATCATCACCATTGTTATTGTTGTTGATGTTGCTTGAATTGGCTTAATATAAAGGAAAACGTTTATATAAGTACGAGGCTCAAAAATTTCACTAGAAGAGGTTTTGTTAATGCCCAAATATCCTCAAATGGATCATCTCGACCTCAAGATGCATAGACATGAGAAAAAAAATGGATTTCAAGTTTTGAAAATAGTACATCTTGTAATGCATTTTTAGACCGTCAATTTTCAAGATTTTCAAGTTTTTATAGATCTACTCAACCTACGCTATTTTTTAAGTTTTAATTTTTTTAATTAGAGATGAAAATATATTTTAAGGCTATCACAAAGATTTCCATTATTAAAACCACATTTCTCAACACTATTTGAAGGTGCGTTTTACTTTGATTGTTTAGAGCCTTGGTTTTATACAAACCACACCCAAATATAAATCATATGGGGTAGTGGGACATAATTACATATTTCTAATAAGGGTGTGGTTTGTATAATGTGTCATCCTTTATCAGTCAAAGTAAAAGGCACATATAAATATTTTATAAGTTAATTGATGCAGTTCTAATGCCGAAAACCTTACATTGACCCATAAATATGTTTCCACCCCTAATTATAAAATTTAAACCTCCAAAAATATTGTAGATGGAGTATATCCATGAATACTTAAAATTTTTGAAAATAGATGATCTAGATAATGTATTGCGAGATGCGGCATTTGTTTTAAGCCATGTCCCAACTTTTTAAACATACTAATAGCACTTTTTTAAACATACTAATAGCACTTTTTCTAGATAGGTCCTTTCCTTTGTATATCAACAATTGTTTATTCCACCCAAAAATGTGTTCACAATCCACCGACTCTTGCTGGTTTTCAATTCAAATTGAAGGAACACAAATGAGTCAATATGCATCAAGATTGTACAGTTTCCCCAATAGGTCGGTACTTTTCTCATAATATTGAAGCATAAGTCGGATCATTTAAGCATTACACCTTTTTTTTTTTTTTTTTTGGTGGGGGATTCGGGGAAGGAGGGGGGGGGGGGGGGGGGGTTGGAGAGAAGAGGTTGATTCCATGTGGTAGAAATAGGTGAGGGGACACAGAGGAGGAAGAAAACGAAAAGAGAAAAAGGCAGAAATACTGACAGGCATCTCAAACAGTGACATGAAAATCTATCTGTATGCATCAGAATCTACATACTCCTAAGTTTCAGTCACAATCTAGTCATTTTCTTAAGCTAAACCCAAGCTCCTCTCTATGATGCTCATAAATGACTATAGTATCAGCAATTTCTCAATTTTACACTTGTATTAGTCTTGGACATGGATAAGCCACCTGCATTTAAGTAGAAGAATGTAATTCTGAAGAGAAGGCGACAATATTTACTGTGATTGATGTTAAAGAAAGGAGACACTTCTTTTTACAAATAAAGTTGATTGTATTATATTAGGGAAGGATAAGTAAAAATTACAGATCATAGGAACATTGTTTATGGGCATAAAATCAGGTCATATAAGCAGGGCCAAAAGTCAGTCAAGCTAAAATACTCTTTCCCCCTTCTAAGGGTGGCTGATGACTAAAACGAAGTTGAGGACCTATCGTTTAGCCAGACTGTCCACTGTGCTACTGGAGTCACCCCAAATATGATGAAAAGAAATGTGAAGGAAACCACAGCTGAAAAATTTGTCCAAAAATGTGGTCGAGTCTCCAGTGGTAGGTCGAAGATCGATTAGCCCACCATATAATATTTATGGAGTCACCCTCCACCTCTGGGATGATGCCCCAACTCCAAGTCAAACAGTCAAGAGCCATTGTACAGCACTAGAGGGCTTCAGCCATGGTCAAGGTAGCAATACTTAACGGGGTCCCAAGAAAGATAATAGAATAGCTCTTTTGACTGCACCAAGTGGCCTTTCCTTACCTTCAAAAACACACCTGTTGCATTCAAGTCACCATACTGCAAGGCCAGTGGAACTCTAAAGCATTAAACCTGACAGGGGGCAACAGGTAAGAAGCTTGCATTCAAGTCATAATACTTCAAGGACAGAGGACTTCTACAGCATCAAACTCTGATAATTCAACTTCACTAAGGTTCCTTCTGAGTTTAGGGGATCAGACTCCGGATCTGACATCCTCCCAAAGATTCAAGGGAGTCCGAGCACTACAATTCTCGTTTGTGGCCAACAAGTATAGAGCAGGGAATTGGAGGTCCAGGCTTTGTCCCCAAACCAAAGATCTTTCCAAAAGCTCAACTTGTTCCCTACTTTAAGCATCAAATCATTTCAGTTGGAAAAGAAGTTATATCCAGAAAGGATCCCTTTCCAAGCTCCCGAGATGGGAATGTTGGCAGCACCCTTAGTGAGCCCGCCGGAGTCATCTAGGTTGTGTCTATGTTGGATTACACACCTCCAGGGTGAGCTTTCTTGAGTTGCAAATTGGCACTTCCCCATAAGGGTTGTGCCCATGTCCTTAAATGATCCATTTGGGTTTACAGACTATGGCTTAGCTTATTAGATGGAAGTTTTGATCGCCTTAACCCTAAACCAAAACCCATCCCTCACAAGTCTCTCCAACTTGTTTACTCCATCTTTTGCATTAGACATAAGAACAGAAGAAATACCAACATGCTTGATACGGTAGCTTTGATCAAGGTGAATCCCACCCTTGAGGACAGGAACCGTCCTTGCCAAGAGGCCAGGTGCCTCAAAATGTTCTATCAAGCCATCCCATTCCCATCAACATGGCCTTTAAAATACTAACTCCCAGAACCGTAGCGAGCTCAGAGCAGTGAACGAATAACCAGTCTCTCTACTAAAACACCAGCATCTTGTCCCCACATTGAAAACGGGAAATAGAGGGTCCTCTGCTTGACGACTTCAAACCTTGAAGGAAATTTTGATAAAACGCATTCAAGATAGCCTGGAAGGCACATGAGAGGTCACCTTGGCAGAGCGCCATTGAGGCCAGCGGGAAGCCTTGCTGGCTCCCATCAATTGGGACAGAGAAGACAAACAAGGAAATGCAACCCAAAATCCAGGTTCTCCGCTTAGGTAAGTCCATAAGCTGGAGCGCCTGATCAAAGCCAAGCAGTGAACATGGTCATAGACTTTCTCCGAGTCTAGTTGCAGCACTAAACCAGGGACCTTCAACGGATTCTATAGTGCAAACATCAGTAAGCCATTAAGGCGCCCGCCACTGAGGATTTTGCGGTCTTTGAAGAAAGCTCCTTGAGCAGGAAAGATGACAAGAGTCCAGCACACACACACTCCAACCCCTAGACCCCACCAACCCAAAAAGTCCCCCACAGGTAGCCAAAACATTGGACAGTATCTTATTGATAGTGCTTAATAAGCTTCTAGGTCAAATTCTTTCAAATCACCAGCACCTTCAAATCTGGAACAAGGGAAATGAACATTGAATTCATCTGCTTATGAATAATATTAGATACACAATATGGCATTACTCATCACTTATAATGATAATAAAAATAAGGGAAAATTACTATACACACCCCCCCCCCTTTCCCCCTTCCCCCTTCCCCCTTCCCCCCAACACACACAAACAAAAGCTTGAATGTTCTCCCCATAATGCTCCTCCATAAGGAAAGTCCCTCGCACCCATTATCCTAAACTGCTTTTCTTTTTTTCTGTTACTTACCTCCCTTGGGTACTTTTCTGCAAAATTTATGACAAAAATACCCTTAACAAATATCCATATCTCTCTTTCTCTCCTTTTTCTCCAACATTCCATTCATATTCATATTCCATTTAGTCATAAAATTTGCCGAAAAAATACAGGGGGTCAGCTATAACTTTGAATGCTCTATGCCAAACCCAGAGTTCATAATAAGAGCTCAGTACCATAATGATATGGCAGACAACACGACCCAATGCCTTGTTACATTTTGTAAGCTTGCAATAGCATACATGCATTCAGAAACAATCTCCTCAAGAGAAAATAAATCGGTGCATAAGCATGACAGCTTCTAAGTTTTTAGTAATATATTTATACCATATTAATTTTACCATATTAATTTACAGCTATACATTTTATCACAGTCCAATAACCACTGGGATGAAATCCATAAATATGAATAGATCCACTAGAACTCCCCTCTGGCCTGCATGAGCATGCAAGAAATAATTAACAAACAAACATAAGCACAGAATGAGAAATACGAAAAATGAAAGAAATAATTTACAAACAAACATAAGCACAATGTTTTATTAGTTGAGAATCCCAAGAACTTGCAAATAAATAAAAGGTTAATGAAACCATTTACCAATAATACCAAATTGTAAAAAGCATTGCAAGCTGCAGGGTATTTCATAGACTGCATTAAAAAATTTGAGAAAAAAAATTTCTTGGGTCATTTCACATCTTATAGGAATGTTTTACCTATTTGTACCAAAGGTAAATGGCCTCATTTTATAGAGCGCCCAAAATAGAAGTATCTTGCCTAAGATAACTGATAAGATTGAGAATAAGAACTACATCACTCTTTGCTCTTCTCTGTTAGATTAGCTGAGACTCAAACCTTGGATTTCTTGGACGCCGCAGAACATGAATCTCTATCATGCAAAAGACTACAGGTAAATTGAAAAAAAAATTAAAAAATTTGAAGAATATAAAAAAGTCAGACAACAGATGAATGGTAATAAGAACCACTCTTTTTTATTAACTGAGGCAATAAGATCCACATTTTACATAAAAAGGATTTATTATTAGACTGATATTTACAATACTGTTTGATACACAATCAGTAAAAGATCAATGATGACTGTTTCAACAAGATTCCCTGGTGCAAATGAAAAAGAACAATAAACATCCAATCCTAATCCTTTACCACCTCTCTCTTAGAAGAGAGGGAAATCATCAATGTCCAGATAGTCGAAAGGCCCATCTCTCTTTGGCTCTCTTCGGATGAATTTTGGGTGTACATAACCCGTCATCTCATGAAACAGATTCAAATTATCAACCAATTTGTGGAATATATTGCAACCAGCACACTGCAACAAAGCAAACACACAATTCAATCCTATGAAGCCAAACTTATATGACATATACAAACAATAAACCCCAAATATCAGATCGCCGAAAAATACAACCAACCCAATATTACATTTATAAAAACAGCTACACTTCATCTGCAGAGCCCCATGAACTTAAATTGAAGAAGAAATCAGGATATCAGAGGATCCCAAAAATAATTAATATATAAACAAAACAAACCAATAACCGTTGCAGGAGCATGCACGCAGATACAAATCATTTTTTATCTATAAGAATTAAATTGTATAAGAAATCAAACTACCAGAACACCCATAAGAAATCTACTTATAAAAACCCAAAAGGAGAAAAACATAGGAAGTTAACTTTTAAAAAGAAACAAGATTGACTCAAACTTACGAGAATCGAATTGTATTTGTGTTTTCTATGTACCTGAACAAAGACAGTGCCATCTGTGTAGGCGTGTGGGTTGATCGCACGAGTGGTGCGTTGGCCACACACATTGCAGGTGAAGGCGACACGCATGCGCCGGCGAGGAGACCTCGTGAAGAGGGACCACGGGAATGTCGACACTGGTTGTTGAGCATTTGAGACATCGGCCTCAGAGACAGGGGGACCTTCCATGCCTGAGCCAGTAGTCCACCCTCTACCTGTTGCTGCACTAAGTACCAGTCCCATGGCTGCATCCTGCAATCCAGAAAACGCAACCAAAACAATAAGGCAAAAATTAAAATTCTGAACAAAACTAAATCAATGAAACTATACAGACAATGCAAAATAGCCAGCAATTCAACACAATGAATTGTATATAGCAAGAGAGAAAGAGATAGAACCCAAAATCTCCAACGATCCAAAACAATGAATGTATAGAGTTGGGTGTGGGGGGGAAGAGAGAGAGCACGTGGAAAACCCCCAACAATTGAAAACACTAACATGTATGGAGAGAGTGAGAAGAGAGAAAATCCCCCAACAATTAGAAACAACGAATTATATAGAGAGACAATGAGAACACGCAGAACCCCAAATAATCCAAAACAATGAACAGTATGGAGAGAGAGAGAGAGAGAGAGAGCAAAGCCCCCAATGATCCGAAAAATAAAATCAAAACATTCAGCTGTGATTAAAGGAAAAAAAAGAAAACAAATTTACAGCCCCGATACACAAAACAAAAAACGATGAAAACTAAACTACATGAAAGGGAAAAGCTACAACAGCAGTCAAAGAAAAAATCGATTCTTAACCCACAATTCAGAGAAAAAAATAACCTACAACAGGAGCAAGAAACCCAATTCAAAACCCCAATATCCCAACAAAAACCAATGCACACAGACCTTTACAAAATAGAAGAATAAAATACAAAAGAAGGAGAAGACTACCTTCGAGAATGGGGCAAAAGAAACCTGAGGTACAATAGATGTGTTCTCCGGCTCTCCGTGGTTGCAATTGTCTGAATAGAGAGAGAGAGACAGAGAGGTGAGAAAACGTTCTAAAAGAAATGAAAAGGAGGGCAATAGAGCAGAGAGTACCAGGAGATTTCTTGTTAAAAGCAGATGGAAGTGATACCCTGTGCGCCAGTCTCGATTTTTCGGGTAAAAGAGAGAAAAGAGAGGAAGCGGATCCTCTTAGATTTACAGACGTGCTTAGGGTACCCATGACTGCTTCAGCGATGGCGATCGAGCCCACAAATTCCCCTCTCTCTCTGGTTTCAATCTGTGGGTTGCAACTTGGTATCTCTCGATCAAAAGCGGGTCTCTCTCTCTCTCTAGAATTTGGCACTAATAATTTTTCCTTCTCTCTAAAAATATTATTTCCTTCTCTCTCTAAAATGTGGGTGGCTCTATTCTCTCTCTCTATGAGCTAAACAACAAACGCTGATATCAACTGGCTTTAGTACAAGAAGATATCTGATTAATTTCACCGTTGGATTTAAAATTGGGCGACAGATTATCTCTTATTGACTGGCTCAAGGTTCAAAACGAAGATCTTTTTTAAATCATAGCCATTACAAACCGTCATAATTAAAATCTAACGGTTACAGATAATTACGACTTCTTTGTAGCAAAGATAAATAGTCGCCTGATAAACCCAAAGGTTTGAAAGTTGTCCAAGGCAAGGCAACTCAGAAATACCTGAGAAGAAAAGAATAAACAAAGGCCAGGAATCGTATCTAGAGAAATTTCATTTGTAACCCCATACATGTAATTTAATAGGAAGAAGTTTTATAATGCACAGGCTTTATGAAAATAAAATAAAGTATCATAAAAAAATCCTCATCTAAAAAATACTTTCGGCCATAGAAATATCCATGATGGCTCTAAAATCAATTTCCAACGCCAATGATAAAATTTGAGACTCCAAAAATGATACAAATCTTGGGAATATATGAACACTTACTTTTCGGTCAAAATGGAGGGTCTAGATAATTTACTACAATATACATCATTTTTAGAGCTTGAAATCTCCTTTTTTTCATAATTGTAATGTTCAAGATAATTGATGCCAAAAATTTTCAATACATGAATCGCAATTCTCTGTGAGTTATGAGGTGAGGCTTTACTTATTTTGAGGGCCGCCTACCCTATCAAACCATTTTCCAATTTAACATGCCTTCAACATTTTGTAACTTTTTTTTAAAAAAAAAAAAGGCAAGGAAATTATCATAATACATATCAGAGATCATCAACTATTTGACATTTTACATTATTTTTATTTAATTTTAAAATAACCTATCAAAATATAGATAAAAGTGAGTTGGAATAGTTGAAAACGGACAAGATTTTAAGTTGTTTTAAAAATTAGATGTCATTATCATCGTCAAAGCCTTTTTTTCAACTAATTAGGGTTGACTATATTAATCTGTCGTTTTGTTCTGTTAAGAATTATATCCTCAGTGAGGCCATAAGTTCCCATATCTTTTTTCACTGCTTCCAACCATGTCTTTTTAGATATACCCATTGTCCTTTGTTGAACCTTCCACTTGAACTAACTCGCACTTCCTAACAAGTTTGGGTCTAGCCATACATGACCAGCCCACCTAAGTCTACTTTCTATTATCTTATCGCTTATTGGAGCCATACCTAAATTCTCCCAAATACATTTATTTTGGTTTCTATCCCTTCTTGTCTCGTCACTCATTCATCTCAACATCATCATCTTAGCTACATGTAACTCTTGAAAATAGATGTATTTTGATAAATTTTCAAAAAGATATTTCAAACAGAACTGATCTTCCTGAAGCCAAGAGGTGTTAAATTCGGATGTGTAACTTGTTTTCGGCTTAGTAATCCACCTGCCAAGTGAGACTATTATCAAATTAGCCATTTTTAACAAGAGTAACTACAAAACTTAGAGGCCCTGTATATCTTGAGGCTTTTTCACTCGGAACCCCAATCTCCTAAACCAGTCTAGTCTTACTCGAGCAATCCCCATGTTGGACTTGCCAATCTTTTAAGGGTGCAGTTTGTATAGAGTCGATGGTCTAAACAATCAAAGTACAACGCATCTTCTACTAGTGTCGAGAAATGTGGTTTCAATACTAGAAATATTTTTCTTAAAACTATATTTTCATCTTTAATTATAAAATTTAAAGCTACAAAATTTGTGTAGATCGAGCAAATCTATAAAAACTTGAAAATTGATAGTTCAAAATTACGTTACAAGATGCTCTATTTTTAAAACTTGAAATCTTCTCTTTTCGATGCATCTTGATGTCGACATGATGAATTAAGGATATTTGAACATCAAAATAAGCCTTTTATAGTGATATTTTTTAGATGGGCTTTAATTTGATTGTTCAGAGCCTCAGCTCTATATAAACTTTTTCCACTGTTGTGGCCTACAATTTACTTGCTTTGGACCCAAGTAACCTCATTCCTGTGAACACCTTTGTGACAATTATTATTATAAAGAGATTATCAGCGTGGGCTTTTATTAGGATATTATTGTGCGAGTCATTTTTATTGGAAGTTTATCGAGAATTTATTGGGAATTTGAAATGTTATAGAATATATATTTAATAGAAAGTTTTATTAATGAATAATTAAATATTAACTAAAAGTATAATAAAGAAAATTTATATAGTATTTGTTAATATTGAAAAAATTAACTTTGCTATTTATATATTTATATATTATTGATAAGGAAAATACGATAACAAAAATGGTAAAGGTTTCTATACTTTCCCTATAGCATAAAAGATATATACTGCCCTCTCCATCCATCCATTCAACTTAGATCAAGTGAACCATTGACTATTTGTTCTAGATCCGACGCCTCATTGATCAAGTGATTTAATTTTTTCTACAAATTGTATAAATATGAAATTTGGTACATGTTATCCTCAATGGGGCGCACCTAAAATATATATTAAAAAGAAGGAAAAATTATGTATATATCTGTTATAGTTTCCGTTATTACCAAAATACCAAATACTTTCTGTTATTATTGGAATATTAGATTTTTTCACTTCATAATGAAAAAATTTAAAAAAAAATTTGTTTTACCCTTTTTCGGTTTTTTCACAACCGAATTCGCAGGATGTTCGGTTGTTCAAAAACAACAAAGAAGCCCATTCTGGTTCTTGAACAACCAAAAGTAGCGGGCTCGTTTAAACTTCTCGTTCAACAGTTTGGCGTTGCACCTTCCACCCTGGTTATTCGGTTGTTCAAAAATTGAAAAATAAACCAATTGTGGTTCTTAAACAATTGAAAATAGGCGGGGCTCGTTTAAACTTCAGGTTTCAATTTCTGGCGCTCCACCTTCTCTACTCTGTGCAATTTCGTTCTACCTTCTCTACCCTGTGAAATTCTCTCTCTCTCTCTCTCTCTCTCTCTCTCTCTCTCTCTCTCACACACACACACACACACAC